AAATAAATAAATAAATAAATCCATTAGAGGCGTGTTTTTTTTTTATTTTTTTTTTTAAATAATTATTTTTAAATATTAAATACATTGTTATGATATTGTTTTGTTAAGAAAGCGCATATTTAGTATTTTAAGAATTAAAAAAAAACGTATTTGCATTACAGGAAGTTCAGTATAAAACATGAATCAAATATATTAGCATACACGGAAACATAATCATACTGGATGTCAGGTGTAGAGGGAAAGTTGATGCTTTAATTTTTTGCTTAAAATATAGTAAAGGAAGAGCGTAAAGTTAATAAAATATCTGTAATCCGACGGCGATAATTATTATTATTACTATTATCACGCCAGAAGATGGCAGTTGGTCTACGCCAAAGAAGAAGAAGACGAAGAAGAAACTGCCTATGACGGTAATGACGAGGCGGCAGAGCAACCAATCACACGGCAGGAACGAAGATGGCGGAATCAGAGATGAGCGTCAGGTAACCAGAGAGCAACAAACTTTAGTAAACGTCCACAAAGGGTTCTTTTTCTTCTTTCTAAATAGCCGTTGCAGTGTTTGCCAGCGAGTAGACACGTCTGCGCAACGCGGCTGCTCGTTAAGTCGTGTCAAGCAGTAACATTTCTACTTGACGGGGTGTCTTTTGAGCGGTTAGCGCCACGCTAAACTTAGCTTAGCATGTGCTATTTGAATGGCTGTACAACGGCGCGGTGTGTCAGCCGCATGTCAACAACAGCATGTTGACTCTTAAAAACTGCAACGCTGGGGGGTTTTCACTTGACGACCACCCGGCGCTTACGTTTCTAGTTGTTCCTCCTCTCACTTGGCTCCAATAACCGACGGTGGTCAGTCGTGACAAAGGAGTAAGAGCTGATGTTTGGTGTTTGGGCAGCGAGAGGACAATGAGTCGTTAACTTAGCTCAGATTATTTGAATGGAAAATATTTCCCTTCGTGTGTTTAAAGTTTGAAAACGGTCCCAAGAGCCTCCACGGAAACTACTTCAGCCTTCGACTTGTTAATAAATCAAATTAACTACATTTTACCGTCAGTTCATATGAGCTGAAGGTTTTTAATTTTAAATAAAAAATGTAATGGAAATGCAGCAGTTTTATAAGCTAGAAAGTCAGCCTTATAAACACATGTGTCTGTGTGTTCATCTTTTCTATTGTTCTGTCTCATTTTTCCATTAATTTTGCACCTTTGCGGTGTCAATATCAGCTGATACAAACGCTGTTTCCCAGCTGGTACATGGAACATCAGGGGTTAAACTTTATCACGTTACATGTAATTTATACATATTTAAGAAAAAGTTAAAGTTGGGGAACGGTTTGTATATACAATCACTAGACATACGCGCATACATTTTTATTCTGCTTATTCAGCACCTGTCAAATACCTGACAGATCAAAAGACTTTACCAGGGATATTGAAAGAAAAACAAGTGTTTATCATCATCTTAATGTTCCTGGTAGGTCAAATTGTACTAATGTGCACAGCTGCCTTCCTGTTTAATGTGCTTTAATGTCAGTTTTCACTTTGCTTAAATATAATATATCATTTTCTCAGGAGCTGTCGAGAACTATGGACCATACTGCTAGGAAGATCTGCATTGCGAGAGCCGGTATGTCTTCTTTCCATATGTACTATTATATACAGAGTGTGTGCAGCTGCCACAGCAGTATGTAGTTTGAATGAAAGTTTAAGTGTTTGTGTTTGGATGTGCCAGAATCCCAGAGTTGTTAATATTAGTCAATTACTGTATAATATGTATGAAGAAGATATGTTTTTATTTAGATAGTACAGAATATGACACGTGTGATTTTCCCTCGTCTTATTGTGAAATGTTTGATGGGAACAGGCGCAGATAGAGGCAGAACTCGACAGACACTGGGACAGACTACATCAAGGACTAAGTTACTACAAGCCACCCAGGTAAGTCGCAGTTCGATCCTCACATCAAATACACTGTTATACATAACAAACAGAAGGGTAATTGTCAGCATCACTTGTTCTAGCTCATCCTCTGCTGGGAAAGTGAAGGAAAACAAAGATGTTGCACAACCATTGAAGGACTTTGGTCTGAGGATCAGTAAACTATTGGTAAGAGTCAGAAGTTTCAGTTTTACGTAAAATATATAATTTGCTATCTTCAAAATGATTTGATGCTGATTTAATGCTTTAATAATGTCACAGGGTCTTGATGAGCAGCAGAGTGTGCAGCTTTTACAATGCTACCTACAGGAGGACTACAGGAGGAACCCGCGATTCGTTAAAGGTGTCTCTTCCCACTTCGATTTATTTAATTGTTGAAATTTGTGTCTGGTATTTTGGTACACTTGTACAGCATACAAAAAGTACCTGCATATGCAGTTTTTACAGAAAAATAACGATACTGATACATTTATCACGTATGTAAAAAGGTGTGATTAAGAAAGATATTGAGATTGTGGCTAACAGAGTCTTCTGAACAGGTTGTTCTCAAGGATGAGCGACAAAGCCAAACACTGCTTCTGAAGGTCAGTACAGATGCCTCAAACCGTTTACACCTGCTGTATAGTTACGCTTGATTCAGCTTACAATCACTATATCTGCATATGTGTGTTTATTCACAGATCGCTGACTATTACTACGATGAGCGCATGTGTCTACTCAGATGTGTCCTGCTCTTGCTGACATACTTCCAGGATGAGCGACATCCCTACAGAGTGAGAAGCAGTTGGATTTCACATCAGAAAATTAAAAGAACACAATTTTATCTGCACATTTCTCGCTAAAAATACGTTTATTTGTTGTCACTTCTGTAAAAATAACTCTGCTTGTGTTTGCTTTTGCCCAGGCTGAGTACTGTAACTGTGTTAATAAACTGGAGAAGGACCTAGTGAGCAACTACCAGTCGCAGTTTGAGAAGCTTTTCAAAGCAGAAGCACCAACATGGGAAACTCACGGAAACCTCATGGTGATCATTTGGTTCATTTGGTTAATGCAGTGTATTGCAATCTAGATCTAATGTAAATATCACATGTTAATCACTTTTTAAGACTTTTTTTTTTACTCGGTTATTACTGATAGTGATGCTTGTCCATCAAAGGATGTAAAATAACTTTTATCTATTTATTTCTTTAGACTGAGAGGCAGGTGTCGCTATGGTTCCTGCAGTGTCTGAGAGAACAGTCTCTGCTGCTGGAGATCATCTTTCTATATTACGCCTACTTTGAGATGAGCCCGTCGGACCTGCTAAGCTTCACCAAAATGTTCAAAGAAGAAGGCTTTGGTTTGCGGCAGACCAACAGACACCTAGTAGACAGGAGCATGGACGCGCTGGTGGAGCGCATTGGGTAAGAGCGCCTTGTTATATCTGAGTGTTTATGTTCATGTTTAAAGTGAGCTGTCCTCCAGGAAGTCTGTCTGTTTGTGGTATGTGACTTTGATCACCGTTTCCAAATAATCTCTCTATACTGCAATTTCTTGTTACTTAGTGGCTAATAATAATACTTCTGCAATAAGCATTTATCAGCCAATATATCTAATTCATTGTTTAATAATTCATTCCCTGTAAAAAGTAGGAAGAAAATAGAATTTAATTCTCCGTGTGTCAACTGTAATGTCTGTTATGTTTCAGATATTTGAGCTCGCTCATCCTGGTTGAAGGAATGGACATAGATTTTCTGCACAAGTGTGCCCTGGAGGACTGTACAGAGCAGCATCAGTTCTCCAGTTCTCCTGACGTCATCAAGGTTTGACCAGAGTTAATTTCAGCACAAATAAAGATGCTGTGAGGCAACTGTAGAGGAGTGAAACAGTGAATGTGCAGGCGGAAAAAAACAAAAGAACTGATTTTTTGATTAGGCTCAAAGTTATGCAGAACTACAAAGTTGAGTAAAACAATGATTCGGGTTTTTTCTGGGAAAACATTAATTCTGTATTTCAAGACGAGTAGTGGATCTACTGGATTACTTAATTTTTCCGATGATTATATCTAACATTAATTCATTCAAATGACACAAAATGATTTGTTTGTTTCCTCCAGGAGATGGATCAGCTGCTGCTGACATTTGGTGACATCCCTCATCACGGGCCAGTGCTACTGGCCTGGGTCCTGCTCAGACACACACTGCGACCAGACGAGTCCAGCCCCGTGATCAGGAGGATAGGCAACACTGCCCTGCAGCTTGGGGTGTTCAAGTATATTTCAACCATGCTGAAAGGCCTCGGGTTCTCGGGAAATAATGTAAGACAACACACATACACACTGATTTGGTCAGGTCAAACCTAAAAGTTCTTAAGAAGGTGGAAAACAATTTAGAATTTTTAGTTAAAGGAAAACAGTCTCTCTTTTACTTACTGTCTTGTTGCAGCTACCTAAACCATTTCTCTCTACTGCTCCCATTACCCAAACCTGCTTAAATGAGATCCTGTTGCTGTACACTTCTGAGTAGAAATACATCAAGTTAAGGAAATCCTTTTACAAGGTCTTAACCTATGATTGAATCATGGCCATAGAGCCAAGGGTCGTATCCTCAGCGCTCAGAATGCTTCTGGTTTTCTCTACCAGGTCATTAACTTTAATCATATGGGGCCTCAGACCTAAATCAGTCTCTAATGAGATGTCTAGTATGACAGCCACTTGGCAGTAGGGAAACATGCTGCACTGGGATCATTATGGCTTTATTGTCAGAATCT